CAATTTGACATGCTCTATCACATGTTCGCGGATGATACCCAACGGCATCAATCCGTGACCCACTCTCAGTTCCCTCAGCTTCTTAGTATGAAACAGAAGACAGTGGAGTCGGTTAAGCACTGGATGAACATAAACAAGCTCAAATTGAACTATGAAAAGACCTAGATGATCCCCATTGCTACCGCTCAAAAGCTAAAATCTGTAAATAACACACCACCCATTTCTCTCTCAGGTATATACAGACTGAATTTGCTCAAACAGTGTGAAACCTGGGTGTCTACTTAGACAGAACACTACCTTATGGGAAAAAAAAACATTAACATGCTTTGCAAGGCGATTTTTCTAGAGCTGCGCGAAATTAGTCATATATTAGACCTGTCTTAAAGTTTGATGCAACAAAGAGGATGATGTCTGCATTCGTGCTATCACGCATGGACTATTGCAATGCTCTCATGGTGGGTCTTCCAGCTACGCTCCTGGATAAAATTCAAAAAGTACAGAATAATGCGGCTCGCATGCTAAAAGAATTATGAGAGAGTTGCATTGGCTGCCGGTCCGAGGTCGCATAGAGTACAAAATTGCAACTCTGAGCTACCGCTGCTTGCATGACCTGGCGCCGACCTATCTGAAAGCGCTCATGGCGCCTTATGTACCCACTAGACAACTCCGCTCATCCCATAGTGACACACTCTCGATACCACTTGTTCGCTTTGAGACTTATGGAAGGCGCACGTTCGCATCTGCTGGCCCAACAATTTGGAAAACACTTCCTGTCGCTCTCAGAAACAGCCAGACACTGGAGTCTTTCAAAACCGCTTTGAAAACAACTCTATTTCTTAAACACCTGTTGGGTTGATGTTGTCTACCATCTTTTCCAGCTAGCTATTATCTCCTAGATGTATAGTGGCCTGTGTTGTTTATGGTTGCAAGGGATGAAAGACTTAGAATTGGTATTCTCGCATGTAGTTTGTGTAATGTTGCATTTTGTATTTCAATGTGATAAAATATAGATTTGTTCATTTCTCTTTTAATTTGGATGACTTTGTACCGCGCTTCCAGCCTTTGGGGATGAAGCGTGATTTTCGAATCATCTTTATTATTATTATTAATTATTAGAAGCCTTCAACTGTTTCTTACGATCTGTGTGTATGTGGCTTCATGTGAGTGAAGCTTTTCAAAACTAAGGCTTATCAAGAACTATTTACGATTCACCAGAGGCGTAGCGAAAGTGTGTTGGGGGGGGGGGCAGATGTCCCCTGGCACAAGCTAGTTAGGGGCGCCAAAATGTGCTTTGATAATATTTTATTGATGAAAATAATGGGTTTGAGAGTTGAAAAGAGAAAAGGGGTACTTTAAAATGAATCTTGTCCCTGGGCGCCAAACACTCTTGCTACACCTCTGCGATCCACCATGGGGACAGTCAAGGCTTTCTGATCTGGTTCTACTATCAATTGAAAGTGATTCAGCATACGGTGAAGGACATTGATTTTGGTCAAGTGATTGACAGATTTGCAGCTTTGAAGACCAGGAAAGTAAAATTTTTAATAAAATAAGTTTAATCCATAAATAACTATAACTTAACGTTGTCACAGTTCTCAAATTCATTTACCTCCTGACCTTTAATAAATTTATTTTAATTCGTGTCATTGTTATGCTGTGGACTTATTTTAACAATAACAAATCCATCGTAGATGTCGGGGAAGGGGGTTTACCATGAGTTTACCTCACCGGGTGACACCAACCCTAGCTACGCCACTGGGGAGAATTGCAAATTTGTGATTTAACCCAAAATCAGCATTAAAAGTGGAAGCAGAGATAGCATGTAATAGACATTGTGCTGCTTGACAATCGTGCTCTAACTCTAATATTAAGGGGTTGTACTAGTGACGAAGCGGCGAAAATATATTTTTGTGTGTATTTTTGGGTTTCGATAGAGACCTACTTGGTTTCAAAACATTAAAAAAAAATAATTAAAATTAAATTAATTATTAAAAGATATTAAAAAGTTTTATAAAATGTTATTTTGTTAACCCTATAAATGGGAAAAAAATTCCCTTTTGAATGTTTCTAATTTTTACCGATTCCATTCGTATGCTAAGAATCACCCGACCATATCTTATTTGGTATTAATGGAAAGCTTCGTTCCTCAGAATTTAGATGACTATAGCTTCTTGTCATTTAGGAAACTTTCAGAACACTTAATCGGCATTGAATAATGGTCAAAAGGATTTTTTCTGATGCATCAACCTTGAACTTTTAATTAAGGACGCAGTTAGCTTGATGACACGTTTGGAAAAGTTATGTGTGATCAGTTCTCCTTTAGGAAACTGCCTCTGAACTATGTGATCATTATTACAATGACTGCATTTTTTAAAACCACACTAATTTAAATAGCAAATTTAGAAAATTTCTCTTAAAACTTAATTATAAGGGTATACTCAAAATTAACCATAGCTCTTTTGAAGCTATAGCGCAAGTATGGAGCAGTTTACCACAATCTTTGAAGGAAATTAAAAATTATTAAAAAATCATTTAAGAGTCATTTAAAGATGTTTTTCTTTAAATAGATCTTATGTCATCAGAGCCCCTTGAGCATGCTAAAATAGCATGGACACAAGCAATATATAATTAATCAATCATCATCTGCATCATGATTACCTTGATGATATGCCAGTTGAACTACAGTTGGAGCTCATTGATTTGCAAGCAAAAATGTCTTGTTGAAAGGGAAACACAGAGAGGGAAAACTTGTTGAATTTTACAGAAACTACCTAATGTTGAGTTTCCAAAACTGAAGAAATTTGACGCTGGTATGGCATTGGTGTTTGGAAGAACTTATCGACTTATGTCTGGGAGCAAAAATTTTCAAAAACGAAGTACCATCCATGGGCGCCGCAGGGGGGGGGGGCACTTGCGCCCCCCCCCCCCGGATTGATTGGGAAAAAAATTTTTAGAAAAAAATAAAAAAAAAATGTATAAAAGAAAAAAAAAAAAAAAGAAAAAGAAAAGGGGAGGGCAGTGGGGTTTGGAAGAACGTATCGACTTATGGCGGGGAGAAAAAATTGTCAAAAACGAAGTACCACCCAGGGGGGCCGCGGGGGGGGGGGGCACTTGCGCCCCCCCCCCCGGATTGATTGGATAAAAAATTTTTAGACAAAAATAGACAAAAAATGTATCAAAGTAAAGAGAAAATAAAGAGAAAGTAACTAAGCTGATGTCCTGTCCGTTAGTTCATCATACAAATACGCTACAGTAAATTAAAACTACATTAAAACATTACTAAAAAATTTTTTGCCCCCCTCTGGAAATTTAATCGATTTTTTTGCCCCCCCCCCCCTAGAAAGTTTTCTGCGGGCGCCCATGGTACCATCTATCATCTATGTGAAGTCAATATCGAACGAGATTAACTGATGAGCATTTGCAAGCAATTCTTTTGATCGGATGCAGCAATTCCAAAACAAGCATTGATGCTATCTTGAAAGCCAAACGTCAGTTTCATAAATCTCATTAACTTTTTTTCTATGCTTAGTTTGTGAGATTCGGACATGTGTGCACTAGGTCTAATAAAACTATCTTTTCACTAATGTCGCCTTCTTTGATAGATAACTTGTTTGGAAATTAATTAAATATGTTGGTTGCCTTCGTTTTTAGTGCATTGCACGCCACTCACCCATGATTTAAAAGGAATACTAAACCTAGTTTTTCATCTATTTTCTCAGAGTTTTCGTTCTAGCTTGCAAGCATATCACATAATGATTATGCGGCCTGGGCTAGTCATTTTGTCACTTATCCGGCCCACTGTGAAAAAATTTTGGTGACCCCTGATCTAGAACACATCTTTGGTTATGATGGGGGCAAAAATCTTGCTAAACAGATGGGGACAGTCATTTTGTCCCTTATCCGGCCCACTGTGAAAAAATTTTGGTGACCCCTGATCTAGAACACATCTTTGGTTATGATGGGGGCAAAAATCTTGCTAAACAGATGGGGACAGAAATTCTAGGTAACTGTCTCTCCAAACAAGTGAAATAATAATAACCACATTTTCAATGGATGTCAATTCTGAAAACAAAAATTATAATAGACTTGTGGTTCAAACAACTGTTTTATAATTCCTATCACTGATTGTATTAACTTGTTCTGTAGGCTACCAGTTTAATTTTTAACTCTATATCATTGATTGTATTACCTGGCTCTGTACCAGTTTAATTTATAATTCTACATAATTAAGATAAGATTGCTTTATTGAAACAAACAAATGGAAATGTCTTTTGATTGCATGAACGTTTTCAGCACATTAATAAAACAATTTGAACACAAGACATCTACATTAAATTATTTCACAAGGGAAAAAAACAGCCATTCAGTGAATTCTCTTATGGGTCGTCCATTAATTACGTCAACATTTTTTACGCAATTTTTGACCCCACTCCCCTTGTCAACAACTGTCAAACTTTCAACGACTCCCGCCCCATTTAATTATGTCAACATTTATACCCACCCCCCCCCCCCCCCCCCCACCAAAAAAAAAAATGAATTATATGATAAATTAATTTATAAATACTTTGTGCTGATGTATTTTTAATAACACAAAATTGTAGGAAAAACATTTTATTGCATCTTTAGCTTGTTAATCAACAATTTGTTAATCATTAAGTTAAAAAGTTTTTACACTTAAATTTTATAACGCATAATCAATTAAGAGGTTGTTAAAGACTAAATATCATTTTTTGTAAAAGTATAAATAAGATTATTGTAAGTATAGCTGACAATCATAGGTTATCTAGTTTCTGGCTGCTATCATCTTCCCATGGAGTAGCCAGGTGTTGCTCTATCGTAACAATGGGCATCAGGGACATCATTTGCCCCCCCCCCCACCCTGATTTTGCTGGTTTATTTAAATTGCTGTGTACTGTGGCGCCTTCAGTAAAAAATAACAAGTTGACCAAGTTTTGGTTTTGCGCCCCCCCCCCAAGTTTTGGTTTTTCGCCCCCCCCCCCCCCGCCCCTAAAAAAAAACCTGAAATGACGCCCCGGATGGGCATAGTCTATAGTAGCAGATTTATCATTTTCATCTTGCAGAACTGATATACCAATACCTGGCAAATCAACCCATCATCCTCATCTAACCATTCAGCACTCAAAATGGTTTGACATGTAAATAGTTCTGGAATGGGTGGGGTGAATATACATTTGTATTGTTTTTATACAGCTGTTTTTTAATTAATAAATGTATGTTACTTTTTTATGTCATGTTGCTAAATTTTATGTGCAGCGCGGTGAGCCCAGTGCTAGGCTGAGGTACCCCGCTATATAAGACCACTGTCATAATAATATTCCTGGACACCCAGTAGTGTTAGCAGAACTCAGCAGCCCTATTATAAGTTGTTTTTAAATGATTAAACAATTTTTACCACATGAATGATCCTAAACAGTGACCATGCAAGACCATCAAATACTAATTTATGTTAAGTTACAAAATTAACACTTATACAAATTTTTTTTAAATTCCCTATATTTTATAAATTAAATAATACCAATTATTATTAACAATTCATTTTTTAAAACCAATCCCTATATTTTTATAAATTAAAGAACATAAATTTAATTAACAAACACTTTGTTCTTTATTGGGTATAAATATTTTTCCTTCTATTTACCATTTCAGAGTGAAGTTTTTAAAACTATAGCAGTTAAAATGATATCACTGGAGGAACAAGGCTTTGCAAGATAGCACAAACAATACTATAATACTAGTTTAATTTAATGAGTGTGTGTGCTCAAAGTCAAGGAGAATGGTTGTGAATTTTTAAAATAGTATATTTTTCAGTTAACTTTAAAAATTATATTTTATTTATTTTTAACATAGACATTTATTTGAAATTAATATATATTTTAAAAGCACTTACACTTACATATTTCACATAATTTAATTTCATGTTTAATGAAGCTTTCAAAATTCCAAGAAAAGTGCTTACTAAATCTCTTCAGATAAAACCAATATTTGGCACATTTGAAGCAATTCATATCATGTTTTTTAGGTCAAGTCACAGAAATGTATAAATTCACAAACAGCATGACAGACACATTGAGACGATAGACACATAGAAACAAGCAATAAAAAAGAACCTAAGAGATGGATGGTGTTTTACTAGATGAGTGAAAGAATTAGAAACAACAGAATATCCCTGAAGGCATTTATATTGTATGCTATTGTATGCTATTGTATGCTATTGAATTTTATAACGCAGAATCAATTAAGAGGTTGTTAAAGACTAAATATCATTTTTTGTAAAAGTATAAATAAGATTATTGTCAGTATGCTATTGAAGGCTATTGTATGCTTGTACTTAGTTTTTGTCGTGTTGCGTTTGTTTTAAATGTGGTAAACTATAGATTTGTTTTTTGTTGACTTTGTACCGCGCTTCGAGCCTTTGGGGATGAAGCGTGTTTTTGAAATGAACTTTATTATTATTATTATTATTATTAAAAAAAACAACTCAAATGTTAATTTACAATTATTCATAATTGGACGGAATTCCTTTTATTTATCATGAATACAATACAAATTCTCTTCCTTGGGGATCATTTTGATACTCAAGGTTATAGCTTGTAAAAATGTATTTGATTTTAAAAAAATGTAATTTTACTTATTTCTTGTTTGTGTTGAATTGAAATAGTTTTTAATGGATTCTAGCACATCTTTCTCATACTTTCAATCTTATATACATAGATTATATCAGAGCAAAATTTCTTTAAAGGGATTAATTAAACAAATTTTGGACAAAGAATAAAAAGGTAGATAAAATATCATGGTCGATATCTCTTCTAGTTTCAGATTTTCCTTTCACAAAATAAAAATAATTTTCATGAAACAATGAATATGACCCTCTTTCCCATAGGGAACTAGAAATTAAAGTAAAGTTGTTTTTTTTTTAAATTCACTTTCTGATGTCAGTTCACTTTCTGATGTCAGTTCACTTTCTCAAGTCCATCTCTTAATTGAAGGGGGATTGAAATAAAAAATATATTTGGTTTAAATGGTCCTGCTTTAGATCAGATACTTAAGCTTATACTTATATTTTGTTGAATACTTTGTGTACTTTCAAATTCAAGCAATGCTTATAAATACAATTATATCTACATTTTTATGTAAAAATATTCCTCAATGTTATTGGAAGAATAAAATAAAGCAGACATGATATAAGTTTTGTCATATAAGGAAGAAGAAAAATAGACAAAATTTTCTGAAATGGTATTTCTTTGCTTAATGTCTGCTTGAATCAGGGGGTAAGGGTGGCTACATGACATGGGATAATTTCAAGTATTCATTTCATAGTTTATATTTGGCATTGCGGACTAAACTTATAAATAAACCTGGTCACTGACAGGTGAAAAATTTAATGTAAAAAAAAAAATGATGCATATTTTGACATGAGAAATTTCTAACTTGATTTAGAGCTAGTTTTATTAGGATTTGTCATCCTAAATGGACAATGTCACTCGAAAATGTAACCTTTTCATTACATCTGCTAATAAGGGTTTCAGTAATGTTATAAGAAGGAATACTGGACACCAATAAATGTCACTCCTCTCACGTAATTATAACCAAGCTAGATAAACAAGCATCACAAGAGTGAATGGAGAGATGCATTTTAGTACTGAACTTGTAACATGTTGGGTGGCTTGTTGCGGATGCTCATGGTGGGCGTCCCTGGCTGGCGTGAGTAGCTGGACGGCTGCTGACCCATGGAAATTCCAAATACTTTCTGAAAATATAAAATGCAAATGGGTCATCCTCTCATTAAATCACAGATAAAACAATATCGTGAAAAGAGTTACTGTCCTATTGCATCCTACTTGAAGCTTCATTCTACTTTGTGGGATGATAAGTTCTCTATGCAAGTGGTTGCAATAAGAGATGGAAAAATCCATACACTTGGGATATATAAATCAAATCTCATATCCTTTTTTTAATTCAGCTATTCACCAGACACTCCCATGTATGTACTCCAGATGAGTCAAAATTGGAGTGATTTCCACTTTCTGGATTTTTGGAATTAAATTATAATTTTTTTTACATGCTTCTGAAGTTGTTTTTTTTTTTTTTTTTTTATTTTAAAAGTGCAGATTGGTAATAAAAACTTTGAGTAAGTTGAGGTTTTTTAAATAAATCATTTTTTGCCCAGTGACAGGCAACAAGTCAAAGTTTTCCCATCTGGGGATTTTCTTTTTTTTTTTTTTTTGTATTAAATTTTAATTTTTTTTACATGCTTCTTAAGTTTTTTTTTTTTTTTTTTTTATAATTTAAAAGTGCAGATTGGTAATAGACACATTGAGTAAGTTGAGGTTTCTTAAATAAATCATTTCTTGCCCAGTGACAGGCAACAAGTCAAAGTTTTCCCATATGGGGAGGAGAGTAGTTGTGTTTTTTGTACATATTTAAACAAAACAAGTTTTTATTTTGTTTCCTTAAGAGCAAAGTCATCCAACAATTGCCAGACTACTGGTAGTCCTACCCTTTTTGCTGTCTTCATCTTGGCATTGTAGTAAGCTGCAGAATCTGGGTTACTCATCAACATTTCATATTGTAAATGTTCAAACTTCTCTTGTTCGTCTTCAAGCTGAAAATGATGGAGCTGAATTATTTCCTCACATTAGTACAGTAATTATTAGACTCATCAGTGAATGTTTAAGAATGTGAATTATTGACAAATTGTTTTGCTTTCTGGTCATTTTAATTTCATTATAGCATAAAGTTGTAGAAAAATGATAAGACTAATACTAATACCCAGACCCATAGCACAATGAATCGCTACTTTATGCTCCTGATGGTGACATACTCAACAATAGTAATAATCTAAGTCTAATCACTCTTTTAAACACTTGCAATAAATAATTTTTGTCCGAATGGCTTAAAAGTAAAAGCACCAAGAGTATTAATAATGTCATGGTTAATGTCTATAAATTAAAAACTGGGTCAAGAATAAACTGAATGAATAAATCAACACAGTTACAACTGATAAAAAAAAAGTGTTCAAAGTCAAAGGTCAAGTGGTTTTTAAAAAAATTAAAATTGGAACTAATGTAAGTGTGAAGAAATACAGAAATGTGTACATTTTAATTTAAGTTGCCTGGTTGTGTGTACCTGAATTAAATCACATTTTAAAAAATAAAGACTGACTCACTGCCAAGCTAGTGATGGGCATAGCGATGCCAGGTTTGGTGCCGAGACCTACGTTGAAGCTGGTGGGGTGCTCATCAGCTTGGCCCAGGAAACTCTCGGAATACCAGTTGTCAAACTCTGAATTTAAACAAAAAAAATAGCTTGATAAAATCAACATGTCTTTATAGACAGGGTTGTGTTGACAACAGGGACAGAGCCTTGTCAACACAGCAGAGACGAGATCATGACACCATTGTATATGACCTCAGATAAGTTAGTACCTCACCCAATGAAAAACCAAAATTGAAAAAAAATATCTCTATAATTATAGTCTGCAATATTTATTATTATTACAGTGGTCTTATATAGTGCAATACCCCAGCCTAGGTCTGGGCTCACCGGGCTGCACATAAAAATATTAGCAAACATAATCATGACATTAAAAAAATTGCATACATTTATTTAATTAACAAACAGCTGTATAAAAACAAAAAATATATATATCACCCCGCCCACCCATAACTATTAACATGTCAAGTCATGGACAGCACCCAAAAGATGTGATTATCGGTCAGAAGGGGGTGGGAATCACCCCCCTCCTCCCGCCCGAACCAATAAATTAGCTTCTGGGTGCTGTCCACTTGACATTAACGAAGTACCCCTATGATTAAATGGGCCATTGCAACCATGTCAACATTTCATACAATGTTAAATAACTATTATGTTTATATTCACACTACCGTACCTTGGATGAGCTTGAGGCGGCACTGGTCCACAAGTTTCTGACAGTAGACCACCTCTGTCTTGAGCTTGTGGAGCTCATCATACCTTGTTCTGTAATCTATTTTCAAATCCTTTAACCTCTGTATTTCCAAAAATTCATCCTCGCTGATTATAATGTCACCATCTTCATTAAGGACTGGTCCTATAATTATAAACATAATACAAAAATGATTCCCATTAGCTTCTTTGATTTTAATTTTTTTTTTTTTTGCTGGCATCCGTCTGTCACAATGTGATGATGGAGTGGGCTTCGGAGGATGAAATCCACATGGCCTGGGATTATTCTTCAAGGATTATAAGCTGGTTCCCAACAGCAAATTGCCTCTCTCATCGCAGTTGGAGAACCCAAGGCAACATCATTGGATGATACAGCTTGGCACCTGTGACGTCGCAGGAGTTGTCAGCATGTTTCATTGTACCAATGTTATCCACCTTTCGGGACTCCATCTCCGGGTTTGATTTCAGAGTTTCCTTCTCTTAGATGAGTTGCCATCTAAGGTTAACGAGTCCCATCCACCCGGGGTGCTGGTGGTGTTTTTGCTTGACTGGGCTCTGGCTGGAATTGAACTCGAGACCACCAACTTGAGATTTGCTCAGTTTAGACCACTCGGCCACCCAGCACCCAAATAATATAATATTTAACATTGTATCTATACATGTAGAAGGCTTAAGACTCAGTTGGGATAAAAGTTTCTAATCAGGTGCAGTTTTTGGGAAAAAATTTTTTTGTGATAACATGTTAGAAATATTTTATTTGATAAACTGAAGCAACACTTAAAAATTACAATCATCCCTCAATTGTTACATAAAAAACCTGTCCATATATTTTTTTAATATCTAATTTTATGTTTTTGGTTTTCTATTCTTATAATTAAAAGCTCTAATTAAAATACATGTTCAAATCTTAACTAAAATTGTAAAAAAAAATTTCATGCCACCTCAAGACACAAAAAAAATGTTTCCCATCATTTTGATAATTGATCTCTACACACTCTACACAAGATTGATTTCCACACTAAAGAAAAGGGTTTAGTGTGTCAGAATTAGGGGATGTCAGAATTAGGGGGTGGTGAGATTGGTGCCTCCTGAGGGCAGCTGGCAATTTGGTAGAACCCCACATTTAAATTTTTCTATGAACAATAAATTTAGCACTTTCGTTTAATCATTTTGAAAAAAGCTCTCTAAAAAAACAAATAATATTAATTATGCTTTAAGGTGCCATGTAAGCTAAGGGACAAAATCACTGAACAGATGTAAAATTTTGATCTCCCCTTACCATCAGCTTCCCTCATCAGCTTAAGTTGTTCCAGTTTCCCCCTGGCTTCATCAATGGAATGTTTGATGTTGTTTATTTGATTGGCTAGATCTGAGTACTCTTTCTTCTTTGATGCCAGAATGCCTAGAGATTGAACACAGAACACACAAAAAAAAAACCAAGTTAAAAACTACAGAAACTTCAATATACTTCATAAGGCCCATGCATTATTTAGACTTTGGAAAAGCTTTATTCTACCACTGTCTTCTTCATTCTACTGCTGTTTTCTTAGCTTTACTATTGTCTACTTCACTTTAATATGGTCTGCTTTACTCTACTTCTGTTTACTTCACTCTAGATCTGTCTAATTCGCTGTACTACTGTCTACTTTACTCTACTACTGTGTACTTCACTGTACCGGTACTAATATCTACTCACTCTATTTCAGTCAACTCCACTGTAATAATACTAATGTCTACTTCTGTCCTCTTCATTTAAGTACTATCTAATGTACTATAATTCTTTTTACCTCACTCTGTTCCACTATACTTCTGTCTACTTCACTGGGTACTACTGTATACCACATTCCACTACTGACTACTGTACGGTGCTATGCTTCTGGGTTTTTTTCACTCTTCTTCAGTCTACTTTACTCTACTTCCTTATATTTTAGCTTGTTTTTGCTACACCTTCCACACATCCGTCTGCTTCACTCTACTACTGTCTACTACAATCCATTTATTTCACTTTACCTCTGGCTATTTCATTATACATAGGTCTACTTCACTCTACTTCTGTCTTCTTTACTGTACATTCATCTACTGGTACTTCACTCTAATCCATTCTACGTACTATACATCTGTCTACTTCACTTAACACCTTTATACTTCACTCTACTTCTGTCTACTTCACTTAACACCTATATACTTCACTCTACTTCTGTCTACTTCAATTTACACCCATCTACTTCACTCTACTTTTGTCTACTTCACTTTACACCCATCTACTTCGCTCTACTTCTGTCTATTTCATCCTACTTTATAATGCTAATGAAAAGACTTGGAAAATGTTAATATTTCATATATTGCTTTACCTTTGTTTTCAATGAGAATTCTGTTGATTTCACTGCCTCTGTCCATTTTGAAATCCTCAAATGCTGAGGTCCTACTTGGAGGTGTGCTGTCAATGATAAATAGAACATTACAGTCATGTCTACACAAATTAACAAAATAATCCTTTTTACACATCTTATTTACTCAAAATATCAATTTTTATTAAATACATTTTAGCCATCTATAAAGTACAAGATAAATTCAGAGTACATGAGTTAATTAAAATAGTTTAAAGCTCAACATATTTATGTCAAGAAGGCCTAGATTTTACATTAAGTGTGGTTTTAAAACCAATACAGGGACTAAAAAATAAGTACATGTCATCATTATGATACTTTTATATTATACCCATATTTTCACATTTCATCCTTCCTAGCACTATTAAATAAATGAAGGGACTGCTTTCAAGCTATGTAAAAGAATGAAATAGTGAAACGAGGTATGTGGAAGCTTGAAATAAGGTAACAGGACAAAAAACAAGGACGTTTCGGCATAAAGCCTTCATCAGCCAACAATAGAAATGAAAATACAACAAAGAAAAGAACAAAAGAAAAGAAAAGAAAATTGTTGTATTTTCATTTCTATTGTTGGCTGATGAAGGCTTTATGCCGAAACGTCCTTGTTTTTTGTCCTGTTACCTTATTTCAAGCTTCCACATACCTCGTTTCACTATTTCATTCTTTAGCACTATTAAATAGTTTTTAAAAAAGTTTTTAAATATTTTGAACATATTATGACTATTTCATTGAGAAGCCAATGTAACTGTGATTTAAAGAAACAAAATTTTCTAGGTGAAAATTAAGTGAAATAAATTTTTGAGGAACTTCTTAATTTAGACACAAGTTTTTTTTTTTTTTTAAGTTTTGGAACTCTCATGCACTTCCAATTCTTGCATTTTTGTGTGTCAATCGAATACAATTTTTTGAAAATGAATTTTTTTTCCAACACTTTTATTCTAATAAACTCAAAAACCGTAAATAATTAAAAATAGAATTACATTGAGAAGCCAATGTAACTGTGATTTAAAGAAACAAAATTTTCTAGGTGAAAATTAAGTGAAATAAATTTTTGAGGAACTTCTTAATTTAGACACAAGTTTTTTTTTTTTAAGTTTTGGAACTCTCATGCACTTCCAATTCTTGCATTGTTGTGTGTCAATCGAATACAATTTTTTGCAAATGAATTTTTTTTCCAACACTTTTATTCTAATAAACTCAAAAACCGTAAATAATTAAAAATAGAATTTAGATAGGAATTTGAAAAATGAAATAAAAAAATTAAAGACTCAAAAGAAAGCTAAATGTTTTAAATAAAAATGTTTTAAGAATGATTTACTCCACAGTATCAAATGTTGAGATATTGATAAATAAATTAATAAATAGAATGCATTCTATTCATCACAAAATGGCTACTCTGTTAACCCAAGGAAAAATGTTAATTTAAAGTTAAAGGTGGTAAAAAATTATTTTTTAAAATTTAAGTAATCTAAGAGTAATCTTCCTATTTGCAACATTAAATTATATTTATTTAATAGGCCTTTTCCTGTAGTTATCCAGTGTCTTACAAGCCAAATAAACTGTACACAAAATTGAAAGCTAACACTCAACACAAAAATAGGAAGAGAAATTTAAAAAAAAAAAATAAATTAATGCAAATCTAAGAAGAATTGGTGAGTGCTTTTCCTGAAATTAAATTAGTTTAGGCCTAGAAGATGAATCAAAAGTTGAAAGTATTCCATACTCTGGTCTCGTTTTGATTTTCTCTTCTTCTTCCTCTTCTCTGACAGCCACAAGAAATAATAAAGGCATTTATTGAACATGTGCATGCATTTAAAAGAATTCTTATTGACACAGCAATTGTGTCTAAATCTGGAACAGAATCTAGAGAGTTAGATAAGATTTGTTTTATTGATCCAAACATATAGAAATGTTTTATGATTGCATTGTACATTTTCAGCACCTATAAAAAACGATTTGAACACAAGACATTTGTAATAAATTTTTTCACTAGCAGCCATTCAGTGAGTTGTCTAAGCCATATCAGGGACTTATTAGTTCTCATTAAGATTTGTGACTTCACGGGGAGCATGCTGGTAAATTCGCACAGATTGGGGAACAAAATAATTTTTATATCTTTCAGTCCTCGCCCTGATGAAAATAATTCGTCCCAAACATGGAGATCCTAAGTATCTGTGATGAAGAGGGTGGGATGTATCATCCAAAATGTGTTTAGTTTTACTATAGCATCTTTCTTCAAATAGTTCTTCCAGTAAAGGATGTTTAGTTTGTGTTATGTTTCTAGATTTCTTAACTTAACTATACTCAATTATTTAAGAAAGCTGATATTTCCAAATTGTATCAGGTTTAAAAAACAGTCTGTTATGAATAAGTGAAATCTTTTAACAAAGGAACCAATGGTCAATTTTTTGTTAAACAAGTGAAACAGGGTTAAAGGCACAAGTAAGTATGTAAGTACAGGGAAATGTCATTTCTGAACCACAGGTTCAGAGGACAATAAGATGTACACATCATCATTTGAACTGAAATTTTACTTTGTATTACCGATTACCGGGTAATAATAAAAAGACCTACACAAAAGATTATTGTATATACTGGAAATATTTCAGGTGAATAAATAGAGTGGTGAGCTTATGAGATTAAAGGTAATAGAAGATTATTATAATTTTATCCACTTACATTGATTATATTATAGAAAACAAGAAAGAAAAAAGTACTGGTAATTAACAGAAGTAAAAAATAAAGTTGTGTGCAAAATTGGTAGTGTGCAAAATTGTGTCATAAGTTTTGCCCTCATTTTTCTACTGCTGTGATTGGCTCTGTACCTGTATGTGCACAAAGTGAGTATGTGGTTTATACCTAATACTCTATGTTTATTAGTTTTTAAGCCTTTTAGCTTTCACATATTTTTTATCTTTTAAATTACATTCTTTGGCAGTGTTTTGGTTCTACTGGCATTTTATTTTATGGGCTGAGTTTATGAGCAGTTTAAACATTTTCCAGCCTTTTCCCAGCCAAAACTAAGGGGGGGTGACTTATGAATGAACAAACTAATGAATGAGTTACAGTAATCAATTAAAAAAATGTTCCAATTATCAGAATAAAAACTCTCAAACTCCAAAGAATAGAATGTCACGTAAGGGTAAAATATACAAGACATAACTATTTGATATTGAAATACAACTTAGGAGGACCCAGCACTATCAAATTGTGGCAAAACCTCTCATGGAGCTTACATTTATTTCTTTATAGCTGGAAGTGGCAGGGTAATAAAACATAATCATCTGAATGAATATTTGGCAACATTTTACTAATAATGTTGTCATAGCTAACTTGGTGCAGTTTAGATGAGTAATATAGTGATGTCATAGCTAACTTCGTGCAGTTTAGATGAGTAATATAGTGTTGTCATAGCTAACTTGGTGCAGTTTAGATGAGTAATATAGTGTTGTCATAGCTAACTTGGTGCAGTTTAGATGAATAATATAATGTTGTCATAGCTTACTTGGTGCAGTTTAGATGAGTAATATAGTGTTGTCATAGTTAACTTGGTATAGCTTAGATTGTTAATATAGTGTTGTCACAGCTAACTTGGTACAGTTTAGATGAGTAATATAGTGTTGTCATAGCTAACTTGGTATAGCTTAGATTGTTAATATAGTGTTGTCATAGGTAACTTGGTACAGCTTAAATAGGTAATATAGTGTTGTCATAGCTAACTTGGTCCAGCTCAGATGAGTAATATAGTGTTGTCATAGCTAACTTGGTACAGCTTAGATGGGTAATATAGTGTTGTCATAGCTAACTTGGTACAGCTTAGATGGGTAATATAGTGTTGCCATATCTAACTTGGTCCAACTCAGATGGGTAATTTAATAATCATTGAAACTGTTTAGAATAGTGATGATAAATTATTAAAATTTATTTACCTGTCACTCTCATCTGACCTGAAAATAAAAGAGAGCAATATGAGGTAATTAAAAATTAATTCAATAAAGAAAACTTTCTGAAGCTGAGTTAAAAAGAGCTAAATAGATAGCAATACAAAAATAATAAGTCAAAGCTGGTAAAAAAAAATAATTTAAAAATTCTTTTCACACTGATCTGTCAGTATAGAATGTCATTTATGAATGTCTGTGCAGCTTTCGAAGGAGTTAAATAAATTTATTAAAGTGTATAGTGTTCACTGCATGTATGTGAGACATACAGTTGCAACGTTTTAATGGCAAGACTTTCAGTTTAATTTACCTATTTTGCTTAATGCATGCTGCTACTGAATTACTTTCAGATATTAACTTGGCATCAACAAATCATCATACTTAACAGATATTCGAGTTTTGTTGATGTTCAATTTTTTTCTGGGTATGTGAATATTGGCATTGTTCCATCTTTGGGAAAACAATTTCTTGGTACATTTAACAGTGCATATCTAGAACAGCCAACAAGGGCATTTCAACACTTCCCCACTTTTTGGAGGAGAATCATACTTTTTTCTCCCACACTTTTCATCTTTAGTAAGTTTACATACCATAGTTAATTGGACCATAACCATGTATGGACCATAATCATTTGGACCAAAGTGAACATGATCTTTATTAAACCATAACCAGAGATGGACAATAATTTTTAGAACCATAACCATAATAATATAAAATACAAATGTTTCGGTAGACATACTTAAAATGAGCTTCTTCAGTCTTTTGCTTCTGGATTTTCTCAGCTCTGTAGAGGTTTTCAGCTGAACTCACAGGGGAGGCAGTAGTCTCAAAGTCTTTAGATGCATCCAACTTCTCTCCCCCAGGAGATTCTGCTTTCCGTTCTCCCTTGTTGCTTTGCGCTGGGCTGGAGGAACGTTTGCCGGACAAAACTGGGCTCCTTTAAGAAGAAAAGGTTTCAAGTCATTTTCATTCTTTTCCACCCGTTCTATCGGTACTTTTATGGCTTAGTTTATTCATTTCCACATTTTCCTGACAAGCTACTTCCTGATTTACTGAAAGCTTATTTGTACAAAATACTTGATATCATGATTTAAAAGTATATCACAAAGTCCAACAATTGCTGGCTATAAGCAATCGCAATTAAGAAATGAGATAAAAAATGTTTGTTGGAAACACAAGCACTCTGACATTTTGTCAAAGTGACTTCAGAAAATGACTATGTTTTGTCAGAGAGATTTGGTTTAACTTTATGTCGATAGAAAACATGAGATTACACTGGTCCGTGTGAAACTTTTGGCTCTTGAATATGATAGCTCAAAATAATTTTTATTTGATTGTTTCCCATTACTGTCTTATTTCAACTTGTTGAGCTTCATGGCTGACTCAAGACAAACATTTTTTACTCTACAACTCTCTGCCTTCTATTTCTGTCTACTATTTATGAGGGTGGTCAATCCGTTACAGAGCAACATGCTCTCTTTTACATGTCAAGTAAGAATACAAACAGATTTAATATCTGGTTTGAATATACATGTGTAACGACTGATCCCTGCTGTTAATTGTCTCTGTTTTAATAACAAAAAATACAGACTCTCTTCCAAAAGCCAACTTTCTCAAAAGAATCTGTTAGCTTTTCTGACCACATAACAATTCAATTACACCTTGACACAGTGGAATATTTTAAGGAAAAATAAAAACTCAAAGATTTTCAAGACAGAAAACAATATGTGCGACCCAATCAAAACAAATATTTCCATTTATTTTGATTATTAAAGCATCTTATCTGATGTGGTGTGTGGCCATTAGCTCTCTGCTATTAATTTTTACATCTGCTGAATAGCTCTCCCCTAATAATTTTCATATGTGCCAGACTTATGGGGGATCTCTACTATTCAAGTTTTTTTTAGTGCAATTATCTTTCATTAAAAACATCACTGACCCAGCCACACTGATCTTTTTTCTCTCTCTCTCCCTCTTCTTCAGCTGAATGACGCTGGACTGATCTGCCTTGCTTGCCCTTGTCGCAGATCCTATCCCAAAACTGCTGCCCTCTAGGTCACCTACACCACTAGAATCATCAGCAACTGTCATACCCGCCTGTGGGGAACAAAATGTCACATTTAACTGGCTTTTTTCAAACATTAATATAATTTTGCATGAACAGTAATTTTAGCCCGATGGGCTGTTGAAGAAATCTGGTCTTCATACTTCAAGATAACAGTACAAAAGAGAATTTTAACACATAATTATTGACTCTATTTAAGGATTTGATTATTTTAACACATAATTATTGAATCTATTTGAGGATTATTTTAATTTTAACACATAATTATTGAATCTATTTGAGGATTATTTTAATTTTAACACATAATTATTGAATCTATTTGAGGATTTGATTATTTTAACACATAATCATTGAATCTATTTGAGGATTTGATTATTTTAACATAAAATTTTTTGAAAATCAAGTTTTTACTATCAGATTTTTCTGTCACATTTCTTTTACTAACATTTTTTGCCAAATCTTAGATTTTTACAAATTAGTAGACAGAGGTGGATGTAGGGGAAAAAAAGACATTTAAGAGGGGCCCCAGGCACAGCATTATAACAAATGTGGGGGTAAAAAGGCACATTCATTAAGATGGGTGAGAGGGGGGGGGGGTTGGGGGGACTAGACACAGTTTTATAACACATTTCTTTGAAATTAAACCCTGGGTGTGCAACCTCCCTACCTATGCTATGCACTGTTTCATTTCTCATAGAATTTGAGAAATGCATTCAAATTTTTAAATAACACCTGCAAATCAATAGTTATAATGGCCGATCCATGAAAAAGTAAATGAGATTTATCAACAAAGAACTTAAAATGGATAAAATAAGAAATAAATTGCAGTCAAATGTACCAAAACACAACACAAATGCCTGTCAATAAGATGAACTTAATCTTGAAGTACTCAATGAGTGAAAACATCTCGTTTCTTGGATACCTCAAATTTCAGATTTCCATCTGATGGCACCCGATCTTTCTTTTTTTTCTCTGCATTCAAGTTTTCTAAAGCCTGTTAAATGTAGTTGTTATTTGTTTTTAAGAAATTAGTTACGGTATACAAATAATAATGTTTATTATTAGTTTGTTTTCTTTTCCTGTCAAATTTATGCCTGTGTGATGTAGGGTGCGAAACAGAGAAATATTTACAAAAGATAAATTTAGCTGGGAATATGAAAAAATTATGTTTTAAATTCAATGCAGTCTGTTGTAGCATCTGGCCATGTTTTATGCACTGAAAAAGGTCAAACTTATATAAATTGTTCAAATGGAGAGCTGTGGAAGATCATTTTTTTCTTTGAATTTTTCTCATTAAAAAAAAATGTAATTTGAAGCTGTTTGGTTTACCTCATGATATAGATTTCTTTTTATGTACAGTAAATGCTTATAGCATTACAAAAAATACTTGCTGTAGGGGACTGGAATGGGCAAAAGGATTTGTGAAGTTTCAAAATTTATAAAACTAAATAATAATTTTTTTTGAGACCAATGATGACCTTAGCAGATAGATTAGGTAACTGGCAGTGCATTCATATAGGCCAAGTAAAATGCAGGTCAGGCCAAACACTTAAAGGCTGCAAGTGACCTTAAGGCTACAGGTTCCTCATTCCTGGCTTAGAACTATCATCTAATGATTACCCAGTGCAGGTCACAGAGAGATGGTTGAAAATAATATTTTGATATTATGTCTTCTAACAGTACACTGAGATGAGAGAGAAACTGTTACAAATATTTCAACAAAAACAAGATTTAAATATTATTTGTTCTACCTGTTGAGCCATTACAATAGATTGTGGATCTGCTTTATTGAGTAGCACAAATTTTTCTCTGATCCTAGCTTCCACCTCCTTCTCCAGCTCCCTGATGGAAGAAAAAATGAAATTTCCATTCCAAAGCATCATTTCAAAATGAACTTGTATTGAGCTATATCAAAATTAACCAGCATAGAGAGATATCATTAATTTTCTGAAATTGTACAACTTAAAAATGTCCATCTCAATACCAACTGAAGATATAAAGGACATATTGGAAAACAATAGAAAAGTGCTTGTCATGGAAAGGGTCTGGCAAGCACAGTTTTCTAGGGTTGTGTCCCCTACACAACAGCCACAGAAAAAAACAACAACGCAACCTTATTTGCACTATGAGGCACTATAGAAATAAATATAATGCGTGTAAGTGATTCTTCAGATTTACTCTGCTGCCTGCCTTCACAGAAAATATATTCACAATTTTAAAAAAATTTCAGGATAAAAACAGTTTCTTACATAATAAATAAATTCACCAGTGAAATCCTACATACTTAAATGCACTACATTTGAAAAATGGTGTCAACAAAACGATATATTCTCACAGCGTCCATAAACGATTCCCCTAACTCTATCTTATAATACATTAATGCTAGCTCTCAGTCGGCAAACCGTCTCAATCAAATCTAATCTAAACCTAAAAGAAACCCTGAGGCTAATCGAAAACTTACACACCCTTCAACTCATTATAACCTGAAAGAATACACTTGTTTACATCCCAACAAAATACAAGTCATGACACAAACAACACAACATCATGTAATCTGACAATGAAAAGGAGCCAGTATGTTACTAAGGACAGGATGTTTCTTTGGTCGTATGGGGGATCTCTAATAATTTCCTGTTTGCACATAGCCTAGTCATCCTATCAAACTGAAATTTGGCACATAGACTCCTTGCCAATGACAAAAAACTCTATCAAATTTTTAGCCCCAACCCCCAAAAATCAGTTTTTTCTGTAGTTCAGGGGGTGGCGACCCACTTTCCATTATCCGCTCAAGCTGAAACTAACTTGGCACATAGACTCGTTGATGATGATAACACACTCAAATTTTCAGCACCATCCCCACCTTCTACCCCCAAAAATCAGTTCTTCCTGATTTTCAAGGGGGGAGCAATGTTAATGATTCATCCAATGGTTGTGTGTTATTGTGTGGAGAGCAAATGTGTAGCTGTTGCTATTTATTTGTGACGTATTTGGGTTTAAGTTTAAATAGATCTTTAGTCTATTAAAGTTTGATAAAAACCATTCCCGTACCAAAAATCAGTTGCTACAATCACAAAAATGATAAATCGCATGCAATGACATAAACACAAACACAAATGATTTATACGAATAATCTTATTTTATGAGGGCTGTTAAATTAAAAATTCTGACGCCTCGTAAAGTTTTTAGATAACTAATGTACAAGAAAGTTTGTATATTTTTGTATTTTGTTTAAGTTTTCAATCATTTTTTGCTTAGCATACTGACCTACCTGTAAAGGTCTTTAAATGAATTGTAAGTTCCTAGAATCTGTTGCAAGTTAATTGTCTGTACACAGAGAAAGTACACTTTTAGCAAGTAACAACAAATCATAATTTATATATTTGCTAAAACATTTTTTAAAAAGACAGTAGCATAAGTCAAGACGTCATAACTGTCTGGTAGTAGTCGGCGTTGAAGCTAATTTCTTCTATTATTATAACTTTAATTCTTTGCTCTTTAAATTTTACAGTAATGAAAACATACAGATTTATAAATAACATGTTCCTGATAAATACAGGGGTCACTCATCAGAAGTTGTAGACACAATATCAGACTCCTATTTCAAACACTCGGTCAAAGTGTCTGGTCATGGTGCACTCACGTACACGTCTTTTGGTTTACTTGTTCCCTAATTAAGGTCATAAAAGATATTTACTCACATCTAACTCGTCCAGTTCTCCGGACAAAAATCTTCTGACTTGTGATTTGATCTCATACTTTTGCTGCTCTGACAGGGGATCATATGATATCAGGCTTCTGTTGGTCTGGAGCAGAAAAGAGAACTAAATTATTCAACAGTCTTTACATACAACACAATTAAACTGCAATTACAGAACAATATAACAGCCATTTGAACACAATGAAACAACTATTACAACACAAGGCATTAATTATTTTTTTACATGGTGCTGGGTATTACTAGTTTTTTTCCTATTTTTTTTAAGGAGTTTCCAAACGTTTTGCCAAACTTCTTATCTCCAGTAAGCAGCTATGGCATAGGGTTTAGTGTCATCCATCTACGACACAAACACAGAAAATAGTTCAACCTCATGTAGTTCATTCCCACAGGAGAAACTATTCAATTATGCCAAGGATTAAGCATACTTAACAGTGTGTCATGACCTACTTACCAGTGTGTCGTGACCTACTTACCAGTGTGTCATGCATCGCTAGTTCAGATTTCAAATGTTGTATTTCACGCTGCAATTTCTTCACTAAAAGCTGGAGTGGAAATGTTGAAGAATTATTTTAATAGGAAAGAAAAAGCGATGCATTATTTAATGACATGTTCTTGTTGTTAAAGCATGGAGGAAATAATGACATGAACTGACTGAATGCCTTTTAACAGCGGTCAACCATAAATGATGTCACTCTATTTCAGTAGATTTTTACCCCCTCCCTCGCTTTTTTAAAAAATCATTACAAATTTGTCACAAAATGTAGACACCATCATAATATGTCACAAAATGTAGACACCATCATAATATGTCACAAAATGTAGACACCATCATAATATGTCACAAAATGTAGACACCATCATAATATGTCACAAATTTGTGAGAACTCCTCCTCCCTAGATGAATGATGTCATTTACGGATAGAAACTCCCCCCCCCCACCCCACCAACTAAATCTGTCTGTGAATCCCCAAATTCATGGTAACCCCAACAATTATGTAAGACACCATCATAATATGTCACAAATTTGTGAGAACCCCCCCCCCCCAGATGAATGATGTCATTTACGGATAGAAACCCCCCCCCCCCCCACCCCACCAACTAAATCTGTCTGTGAATCCCCAAATTCATGGTAACCCCAACAATTATGTGCTAACAGCAGGGTCACAGACCACATTGAGAAAAGGCCAACTGGCGACACACTAAACTATTCACCTACAGCAGGGTCATAGACCTCGTTGACGCAAGGCTCACTGGCAACACACATCATGCGAGTGGCAAACCTCAAGGTTGACACCTGTCAAAGAAATCTTGTTGAAAACGTTTTGTGCATAAAAAGTTTCTTTTGATCAATAAAGTTAGTAGTAAATAAATAATTCTTTCTTAAAGTTCTCATTAAAGAAAAAAAAGAAAAAAAATCTTATTTCCATTTCATCCAACCACAAGGTTCCTGGTTCCTGGTTTTCTTACAGGAAGTTATGGAATAAACCCACTGACCAGCACTGCTTGTGTTGCAATCATGTCAGTGTGCTAATATTATCCCATGTAACTGTTATAACTTTTGCAAACATTTTTATCAATATGCAACATTTTTCATGCCCTAATGTAATCTCATGTCAGACTAACATAGCAATGTAATAGTCTAAAATATAACTTTAAAAAAAAAAAAGTTTAAAAAAATTGACTGACTGTCTCTTCCAGCTGAGCTTTCTCTGCCCACATGTTGGCAACAAGCAAGGTGTTACAGTTTCCTCCAATGGAGTCCTTGAGATAGTGGGTCAACTTGGACTGACGAAACGGTACATGATCACGGTTTCGTGAGGCAAGGGCTATGACAACTTGCTCCAGGAAAGACAGAGACTTGTTGATGTAGAGTGCTTCCTCTTTTGTCTTTCCTTCAGACTTTAAAATTGGTACCAACATTTAATAATAATATTCATCGTTTCACCTAGGCTTCCGGTTAGTAATAAGAAAGTTAAAAGATAATTGTTTTTCCAGTTATTGGTTTTATTTTGTGCAGATGACATTATTGGAGTTTGGTCATCAATATATTTAAAAAACAGATAACCGGTTTAGAACCAGATTCCTAAAACCATTAACAGGATTGCCAAAAGAAAAAAAATTTAAATCCCTAGGACATAAAAAAAAAAGTATGCAAGTGTATAACAAAATATAATTCTGTTATCAATAATCAATGATTTAATAAAGCACACTGTATTGTAGCATCGATTGTAGAGTAAATACAGTGACACAAAGGATTGTTGGTATCTGGTGATATCTGTGAAGCTCTGATTGTTACATTTAGCCAGACCATTGAGAAAATAGTTATCTGACTCTTAAGCTATCCATGATCCTCCAGGTTTAGATACTTTGAAAAACATCAGTTTTAACATAGCTACTGGTACTTAAAAATCCTTCTCGTTTAGTAAGTAAACATTGGACGGTTTGTGTTCAAGATCAGAGTGATATCCCTTGTATCATCAACATTACCTTTGATTTGCTGAGTCTCTCAGATCCAGCCAAGTCAACAAAATTCACTTTGGAAACTGTGTACTTGGCATTTGATTGTGTTCTAGATCGGGACTATCAAATAAGAAGTATTAAAATACACTCTGTAAAGTAATCAAACATACTTGTTCTAACAATACCTTTTTAACAGGGGAATCCCCTTATCATTAATGGAAACTAAGCTCTAAAGCATAAGATCCACATAATAAAAAGAATGTTTGACTCTCGACAGTGGTTTTATTCAATTATTCAAAGCTTTAAATTGTAAACCTGGATTACATTAAATTTCCATACGTCTTTTCCATTATATCTCAAAATAATCCATTTATAAGCTTCTGTTGAATATCTAGTATTAGTTAGCTTCTGTTGAATATCTATTATTAGTTAGCTTCTGTTGAATATCTATTATTAGTTAGCTTCTGTTGAATATCTATTATAAGTTATTTCATTTAAATCCTTTCCAAAGTTCTTCACTACAATGTCAAAAGAAGGAAATGACTCGATGGTATTGTGAAAATGTATTTTTTGCCACCAAGTTTAAAAAAAACCAAGGTAGAATATTATAATAGTCTTTTACCTCTTTTAAAAGCAATTTAAAATTTTGCATACCTCTAGGTAGATGGTGAATATACAGTGAGATCGTGATGATTGCTTGTTGAGTTGGTGGGCTGCAATGGAGCGGTTTGTTTCACCCTAGCACAGAGATAATAGATAATAATCGAAGGACTGCATTCAAGCTTTGTGAAATATTAAGACAAAGTATGTTGAAGCCTGAATCAAAAGACAGGACAAGAAGATGTGAACGTTTCAGCTTAGAGCTAGAGCCTTCTTCAGCGAACAGGACTAATAAAAAAAAACCAAGAAAGAGAGCAGAGTAAAAAACTTGAGAGATCTCCTTTGTTGTTGCCGGAAGCAGATCAATCATATTTGGCATATTTCCTTTAAGTACGTAATTTCAAAAATTATATCTCAACCCATGAGTGCTTTAATTTTAAAGAAATGATATGATTTCACCACAACTGTATCCTACTGCATGTGAAGTTTACAGAATGCAGTTAAATTATTTAAATGAAAATCATATAGCCGCTTAATGTGATGTACCTCAATTAACTAATTCACGCCACATCATAGATAACTTAATGTAAATCAAATGGTTAATTTAGCGGGTATCTTAAAGTTATCATGAAGCTCAATTAACAAATTCATATTGTCTCTTACATTTCATTTCCTCAAATGACAATTTCAAAGTACATCCTTAACTTATGTACCTCAAATAACAAATTCAGAGCCTCCTCTTCATTCTGTGCAAGATGACAAGACAAGCCCTTGACAAAGACACCATCCTGATTTTCTGTGACAACCATGTGTTCAGGTGACGTGAAGGGATCTTTGTTAGAATTCCATGCAGCTTCAGGCATATTCCCCAGCAAATCGAACATGCCCTCATTATAGATCTCTAAGTATGACACTCTAAGGCACAAAGCACATGCATGAGTTTAAATGTGTCTCATTGAACAGTACATATGTTTATAGGCGAGAAATCTATTACAAAACAAATTCAGGATTAACTTAGAAGAGGTTGACAATTATTGTCCGCACAATGGCGTGTCATAAAACAGATTATTAAGGATTGATTGAGAAAAATTAATTAAAACTACCATGTTCTGATTGTTTTATGTTAGAAAGTCCAGCTTGTATTAAATTAATGTGCAATGGAACACAAAGATATACATCACAAATCACCTCACTGTATTGCTATACTCAAGTCTATCTTCAATCTGTCGAAAAAGTTGTGATATGGCACGTGGAATAAGTCCACGATGTTGGTAACTTTCTGTAGCTCCAGTCATTGTAAAGGTTTTCCCAGCACCAGTCTGACCATAACACATTAGAGTTCCTGCATGGAGGTCAATATTTAAGACCATGATATAGTGAACCTTTGTGACATTATGTAGTGACATTTTGTAGTGACATGATGTAGTGACATGATGTAGTGACATTATGTAGTGACATTATATTGTAAAGGTTTTCCCAGCTCCAGTCCGACCATAACACGTTAGAGTTCCTGTGTTGAGGTAAATGTTTTATGCTTAATAATTATTACGAGAAAAACCTAGGTCAAAATTTAGTTCATGTTGGGCTGGGGTGAATTTAGAGATATCGCTGAGCATTATTATTGTCAATTTTAGCCTTTCCCACCTGAAAGTCTGAAATGTCTCCTCAAAACTGCATGAAAGAAAATTGAATTCAAGTATGTCCGAGAATCTTCGATACCATCAATTTCTGCACTCCTCTTCCCTCATGTGGTTCTTCATTGATTAACACAACGGTCACTTCCGAAAAAATTCACCTTCTTACCTGACTCACGCATCATGCGTGCTGCCTGACAGCTTTTTTTCTTTTCACTCAATACTATTAACTTAAAACATGTTGAGTAGGGGAGGGTCGGTTGTGAAAAGGAAGCAGCCACACCAGTAATTGCAGATGATTGTAGATGAAGTAAAGAGATTATGCTTTCAATAAGAAATTCATAGAAGTCTAGATAAGGAAAGAGGGGGGGTGGGTGGAGAAGTCTGCCATGGACATGATTTTTTTGCTTTAAATGAAGGGGCTGCATTTTTTACTTACTGCATAAGTTTTTTTTCACGGAAAGTAGGGTGCAAAAATCTTGGCAGCAAATGAATGCAATATTATATGGGTTTATTTAACAGAGTGGTAAAAGTACTTATTTTTAATGGAAAAAAAGTTCTAAGGGAAAATTGAATGGTGGAAAATCTTTGCTTAAGTTTTAGAGAGCAAAAAGCAAAGCATTTGTTTGCAATTATAACATTTTATTACCATAGATTACCATAGATAATGCAATAAATTTAGGGTAAAAGAGTGCGACTTAAAAATATGTGTTTGCCTCATACACATGAGGCCATTTTTTATTGACCCAAAATTTAGTCTTCTGGGCCCACTCGTATTCTTCAACCAAGCGTGCAATGCATTTGGGCATACCACCAGTAATGTAAGTAGATTGCATCATATGTCGACATGCCCTTTCATGGCTTTTTTTAAACAAAAAGTTAGGGGTTCACAATGCATGTAGTAATACACAAAAAATTATGCCCAAAGTTATCTTATTAAATAATACAAACTATATCTCACCGTTATAACCATCTATTGATCCACTAACAATGTCGGCGGCCACTGTGTTGTACACAAAATCCTGGTCCACATTGTTAAAGAATCCATCCAGTTTAAATGACCAGTCAAGAATTTGATTATTCACAACACCTTTCTTGGGGTCTTTGCGCAGGTGAACATTTACAGTCTAAAGTCAAATATTAAAAAGAATTATATTATAATTATTATAATTGAATCTATCAACTGAGGTTGCTTTCTGTGCTTGGGATTTGATTAAGTTCATTTGAAACAAGATAGGCCTATGGCAGTGGCCGGCAAATCGCGACTCGCAAGCCGCTTTTTAGTGACCCTAGTGCGGCTTGGACAGTCAGCCGTAAATCGGTTTTGACTCCGAAAAAAGTTTTATCATAGTCTGATAACTACCACAAACTGTAAATGAGTGAGAGGAAGTGGAGTGTTGGAAACATAAGGGGAATTAAAAATCGTACTGGCCGCGGTTCGCCTAACAAAATAACTATGTCACAAAATTAAGTCGTACAGCAAAAAAGAAATCAAAAGCCAAGATTGACTTTTAAATTGTCACTAAGGCAACTATGCTAATAACACAGTCTATTGAGTTAATTATCAAAACACACAAAGCAACAATATTACAATCCCCATAATCATTACATAAATGTGGTGGTGTTAATCACATCCCAGTTGAATGAAATGAACTTGAAACTTCAGGGAAAGGATAAATTCATCTGTGATCTCTACAGAATCATCAAAGGATTTGGGAGAAAGATTTGTCATTGTTTGAAGTACAACTGGAAAGAGAAAAAAGTTCTAATTTTCACTCAAACAGCCAAAGAAGAAGCATTTTTTGGAGAGATTTTAAGATTTTTACAGAATTGATAGTGATATTCTTCTGTTCCAGAATCTGTTTGATTGTAATCTTGATGATGAGCCAGTTGAACTACAGTTGGAGCTCATTGATTAGCAAACAAATGACTAGTTGAAAGAGGAGCACAGAGAAGGAAAACTTGTTGAATTTTACCGCTGCTTATCTGATGTTGAGTTTACAAAACTGAAGAAATTTCCTGTTCGTATGGCATCAGCATTTTGAGCAACTTATGTCTGTCAGCAAATATTTTCAAAAATGAAGTATTTGAAGTCAACACATCAAATGAGATTGACTGGTGAACATTTGAAAGCAATTATCTTGATTAGATGCAGCAATTCCAAGACAAACATTGATGATATCTTGAAAGCGAAAAGTCAGTTTCACTAATCTCAGTACACTTTTTTGCTGCTTAGTTTGTGAGATTCGGATATGTATGCACTAGGTCTAATCTAACTATCTTTTCACTAATGTCGCCTTCTTTGATAACTTTTAAAGAAAATAAATATGTTGGTTGTTTTTGTTTTTAGTGTGCATTGCAAGCCACTCACCCATGATTTGAAAATAATACTAAACTTAGTTTTTCATCTATTTTCTCAGAGCTTTCACTTTCATTCTAGCTTGCAAGTATTGTACAAAATGAATATGCCGCCTAGCCTAGTCATTTTGTCACTTATCCGGCCTACTGTGAAAAAAGTTTGGTGACCCCTGGTCTAGAGTGTACTAAATTGTATCGCAACATAACAAAAGTATGTTCCAAATGACATTGAGCTATTTTGTCAATAGATTGCTAAACACTCAATTTACCGAAAGATATAGGCATATACTTACATTTTAATAAATGTTAAGGTGCAATTCTATTGAAATTTCTAAATACCTCTTTAAATATTTAAATACATTTTATCTGAAACTATGTCGTGTTTTTTTTTTACAGAACTCCAGTAAATGGAGCTAATTCAATGATAGTTAAATACAAATAATCATATTATAAATTATAATAGGTCTATAATATCCTAAAAGGGTCTGAGGGCCTATTTAACTTGTTTAACTTTAACTGACTAACTTCAGGAGTTGAATCAACAGTTTATCTTAGTTACTATTTATTCAACTCCCAAAGTAGAAACCGAAGTGCACGCCTTAACTTTAATTTTGTATCAGTATCATAATCATATTAATCACTTTAATCAAAACTTATGATAACATAAGTGAATCATAAGTTTAAATGTCATTTAAAAAATTGATTTAAATTGTCATTATTCATTGAGTTCATTGACATTAATGATAGTTAGTGTGTGTATTAGTATCAGTCACATATTATTCAATCTTAATATTTTTTTAACAACAACTTTACTTACTTTACTTGAGTCTCTTACTCTAGTATATAAAAACTTAATTTAATTCGACTAATTCTGTAATTGTAATTAATAATAATTGCGGTATGCCGACATCAGGTCGAATAAGAAAATTTTTAAAAAATTACTTACCTTCCCATCACCTAGAATTTCAATATTTTCTTTCGCAAAATTAGACGTAGGTCTAAATCTGCCCCAGACTCGAACTTTTCTGTTCTTTGTACTCATGACTATTTTGCTTAAAACAAAATCGCCTACAAATCGTAAAAAAATTACCCAGTGACAATTTACACTAACAAAACGGCGGCCATATTTGTTAGCGTTGTTAGGTAAGCTGCGCAGGTACAAACTGAAATAACAGGAAGTATAAGTTAAATAATCGCCATTTAATATCTTCTTTCTTTTTCAATATCTATATCTTTTTTGCATTGTTGATGATTAAAGAAAAAAATAAAATGAACACATTCTCAAATAGCTTCTTAGTGAATTTTTTGGGTGATTGTAAGTCAGCGAAGTTTTATTTGATTGAAGTAGGAAAAAATGGATTTTTTTTGTATCTTGGGAAATTTGAGAGAAAGTCAGAAAATCATTGAAAATACTTGATAATAAATAAGGGGGCGTCCATTAATTACGTCAACAAAATAGGGAGGGGGAGGGTGAGGGGTGGAAATGTTTGACAGATGTTGACAAGGGGAAGGGGAGGGTTTAGTTTCTTTGACGTCAACAGTCACATTTTCTCTAATAAAATTTCAAACTTAAAAATTGACTAGTTATTACATTATTTTTTTTTTAAATTATCAGTGTAAATAAGTGTAAATAGTCATATCATTTTTAGGCTTTTAGTTTTAAGAATATAAGATTTATTTAATGTGTGCAGGGCTTGATTAACCATTAGGCAAACAAGGCACGTGCCTAGGGCACCTAGCATTTGGGGGGTACCACAAGTCCTCAAGAAAAATGTGTATATTATTTTCCCGGTAGCGTTATTGTTTGTAAACTTTTTGTGTTTAAAGGTCCCACAAGTTTGGCTGATAAACATGGGTTCCGTTTGGTCCACTTTTAGCATCACACATTGCGAAATATGGAAATTCTGGAAAAGGAAATCCTTCTTATTTATCCAAAACTATCTGTGAAGAACTGATTGAAATTATGTCCCAAAAATGCCATGCGATAATTGTAGATGAGGTAAAGGCTTCCGGTTATTTCAGCTTATCAGTAGACTCAACACCTGATATTTCACATATAGATAAGTTAAGCGTTGTTCTTCGATATGTGGCAGATGGAGAGCTCATTGAGCGCTTTTTGACTTTCTTGGAGCGGCAAAGTCACGCTGGTGAAGGTTTGGCTAAGCAAGTGTTGCAGTACTTACGTGAAGCTTGCAATATTGATTTTTCGAAATGCAGAGGTCAGTCCTACACCAACGCAGCTAATATGTCTGGGTGCTACATGGGCATGCAGAAAAAAATTCTAGAAGAAAATGAGTTTGCTATATACGTACCCTGTGCTGCCCATTCACTAAATCTGGTAGGCAGAAGTGCCGTTGACTCTTGTTTAGAGGCAGTAAACTTCTTCCATACAGTGCAACTGATCTATATTTTTTTCTCAGCTTCAACCAAAAGGTGGAAGATTCTGAAAGGATGCCTTGTGAATGAAAAGCTGGTAAAGTCTCTTTCCGATACCAGATGGAAAGCACATGCTGTTGCAACTGAAGCCATTCTAAAGTCTCATCCTCATATTTTAGAAGCGTTAGAATGTTTACAATTTACAAGAAGACCAGTCACAGAAGGGGGACACCAGAAGAGAGGCAGAAAACATTGCATAGAAGATGTAAGAATTAGAATTTGCTTTCATGCTTGTCTTTTGGGAAGACGTGTTACAACATTTTCACAGGGTCAGTCAAGCTCTACAAAATGAGCACGTGAACTTGAAAACGTGTGCTGATTTGTATTCTTCACTAGCAGATCACTTGCATGAATCTAGGAATGAATTTGAAAGATTTCAAGAAGCTGCAAAAGAAATAACATCAGGTGTGGATTATAAGTCAACTTTGACCCGTAATCGTAAACGAAAGACAGTGGTCATTGATGGTGATACCCCTGAGGTATCTCAGAGTGCCAGAGATGAATTTCATATATCTGCTTTCTACACCATTGTTGACAAACTTGAGACACAGATAAGTAGACGAGGACAGGTATATAATGATCTAGCAGGTCGATTTTCTTGTTTGGTCGATGTACCACAAACATCTCAGTGTTGTGAAGGACTAATAAATGCTTATCCTAAAGATCTGAACAATAATTTATATACTGAACTACAACAGTTCCACTCATATATTCGCCACACGTTTCGTGCATCAAAATCTGAGAACAACACGTTCAGCCATGCAGAACTCTACAAAGTAATAGTTAGAGACAATATCGAGTGTGATTTTCCAAATGTAGAAATCGCCTTGCACATATTTTTAACATTAATGGTTACGAACTGTTCAACTGAGCGCTCTTTTTCTCAGTCGAAACGTACAAAAAATCCAAGTAGATCGACAATGAAACAAGAAAGGCTTGATTCCTTATCTTTGCTGATGATTGAGGCAGACTTGTTGCGCAAAATTAACTTTGATGATGTACTCAAAAATTTTGCCAGACGTAAATCTAGAAAAAAAAAAAAAGAACTTTAAAATGTAAATTGTGTGCTCTCTCTCTGACTTTCTTATCTATCAAAAAAGTTACAGTATTTTTGTCGACTATTCTTACAAAATTAATTAACTATTAATTTTAATACAGAAATACCTTCTTGTAGATTTTATATATGAGTGATAGTAGTACAAACATATGTGTTGACATTTCACAACTGTTTTTCTTTGTTAGTTTTTTGCATAATATTGAACATATCAGCAGTCAGTGGAGGATTGGAGGCCCGGGGCAGAAGGGGGCACCCATGTGTTTTTGTGCCTAGGGCACCAAAGTGGCTTTATCCGGCCCTGAATGTGTGTCTGTGCACTGCAGATGGCTGGTCAGAATGTTAGCACACTTTGTTAGTGCAAGAGAAGTTAAACGTTGTCCTCTCTTCACCTGAAGATTCTGTTGCAGGTATGGAACAAGGACAAGGTTCAAGTGTTATGTGCCGTCAAGATAAATGATATCGATAGAGTGTAGAAATACGATACTTTGAGAATGAGGGGAAAGTAAAGTGATTAACAATAATAACATCGCTGCTTGAACGGATTTGCAAAATCTTTAACATCTACTTTGCATCACAAGTCATGTCGAAAAAGCATGTTCAACGGCACCGACAATGCCCTCTTGAGCATAAGGAATTGGCACCTGCTCCTCAGCAAAAAAAGGTTCGACCATAGCGAGTGGCTGCAAGGAGCTAGAGAGAACTTATGACAATTATTGCTCACACTGACAATGTTTCTATTGTAAGTGCTGAATGGTTAGATGAAGATGATGTTGACTTGTCTGGTTATATAAGTGCCGCAAGATGAAAATGATCAATCAGTTTCTATAGACTATGCACATCAGGGGCGTCATTTCATTTTTTTTTTCAGGGAGGGGGGGGGGCAAAACCAAAACTTGGTCGGCTTGTTAAATTGTATATAACTGGAGACGCACAGTACATATCAATTTAAATATAACCAGAAAATTAGGGGGTGGGGGGAAATGCCCCCTGCCCTGCCCAAATGATGTCCCTGATGCCCATTTTTACGATAGAGCAAACCTCGCTACTCCTTGGGAAGATGATAGCAGCTAGATATTATACTATAATTGTCAGCTTTACTGACGATAACCATATTTATACCGCAAACAAATGATATTGTGTCTTCAATAACTTTTCAATTGATTCTTGCAATATAAAATGTAAGTGTAAAAACTTTTTAACAAGCTAAACATGTAATGAAATGTTTTTCCTACAATTTGTATCATTGAAATAGATTAGCACAAAGTGAAATGTGTTTATAAATTTATTTATATTATAATTCCTTTTTATTATTTTTTAGGGGGGGGGGGGTTAGAAAATGGTGACGTAATTAAATAGGTGGGTTATTGAAAGTTTGAGAGTTGTTGACAAGGGGGGGGGGTAAAAAAAATGCCTAAAAATTGTTGACGGAATTAATAGACGACCCCTAAGGATAATTTTAGGGGGGGGGGTTAGAAAATGGTGACGTAATTAAATAGGTGGGTTATTGAAAGTTTGAGAGTTGTTGACAAGGGGGGGGGGTAAAAAAAATGCCTAAAAATTGTTGACGTAATTAATAGACGACCCCTAAGGATAATTTTAAAGACTAAAAAAAATGTATGAGAATGGGACTTTTACGCCATCTCTGAAAGTTGTAAGTCTTAAAGTCATTTAAAGCTTTGTTTGGTAAAATGATTTGCACAACGTGGGTTCAGTCATTTGGATGTTCTACCTTTCAGTAGTGCCTTATAGGGGGTGCGGAGGTGGCGGTCGGCCCTTGTTGGCACCTTTTTTCTTTGTATGGAGTGGTGGTATTTTCGGCCAACTGCAGATATGTTTGCGTGAACGGGGCGGGAAAAATACCACTGACCTTCAGTAAAATTTACATGAATATGCAATTTTTTAAAACAAAATTTCAAATGATATGTTCGCCACCTTTGAAGATTAGCGATGAGTCTAGAATGAGGGTAATTTCGAATACAGCAGCCTATGCTATAATATGCAGTTTCACTGTAAAGAAATCTTTTTAGCCTTGACAGTTGCACTGCAAGAAAATCAGTCTAGACTTAAAATTGCTTATATCAAGATAAATAAAAGCTTATCTTGCAAAGTTTTGAAATCTTGATAGGATCATATGGAGAGTATAAAAAGTCTAATTAAATGAACGAAATGATTATTTTCTAAAAAATAAAGAAATCGTTTCTTTATTAAAGCAAATATGTTTAGCTTAGAGCGAATGTGAAGAGGGATATTTCTATGTGAGCTATTCTTGAAAAAAAAACTATCTCTGGCTCTAACAAAGTAGGGGGCCGCTTAAAATACATGCATTGAACATAGTTTACTAAAATAAAATATGCTCTAATTGCTTTAAAATGAGAATTCCAGAAAACGTTTTCGGCGCTAAAATTGTGGGAATTGATTTTTAAAAATTAATATTCAATAACATTAACTTGTTGCCTAATCATCGTTTGGGGGTTGTACTAATGATACAAATTTAATTACAGTACATAGCAGATGATCTTAACCAGGGGTGCCCACAGCCCTATGGATGCGAGAGACTGTGTTTGGGGGAGCAGTGTTTGGAAGATCCAGAAAAGCTGTTTCGCATTACTATACTTTTAGCATTTTTTAATTACAGGGTAGTTTTTTTTTGGGGGGGG